AGGGGCCGCAGGGGGTTTAGGGACCCATGGTAAATCTCTGGGATCCAGTATGCCCTCGAGGTACTTTTTTAGCCATGCCACCCTGGTTGCATTTTTCAAGAACTCAGAATAATTATGCATCAGTTCTATTTCAGCCACGAGTCTCTTCCTGGGGAAGAATGGAATAGAGACGGCGGAGGGCAAGAGAAAGGTGGAAGGAGAAAGAAGAGAGAGCATAAATCATTTGGTTCACTCCTTCGCATTTTCCAGAATGAAGCAAAAGACAACAACAATGCTGTCCCATTGACCAACAAAGCAAACTAGGCTACAATACTTACTTAATTGATTTTCCATCAGCATTTGTAATGAAGCCAATTACATACAAGACCACGATGGCTCTTGCCACATCTCTCGCAAAAACCATCTTCACTGAAAGGAAAGGAAGAAAGGGAAACCTTTAAAACTTCAGCAATTCCAATCGTTTTTTTTTAAATCTATCCAGTGTAAATGAATAATGTATATCAAATCGCTTGCCTTCTCAAAGAGGGGGGAGGAGAGGAAGGGTGAGAATTAGGAGCTCAAAATTAAAACAAAAAAACCAATGTTAAAAATTATTTTTACATGTAATTTTAAAATATTAAAATTTTTAAAAAATTTATCTAGTTTAAACATTTTTACATACGCACACTCACATACACATATACAATACATACACACACACACAAACACATTCACAGTACGTACATATCATGTAGCTTAAGAATGAAGTCACCTAGCAAGTTGAATTTTTGTTGAGTATACTGGTTAAGTTTCCTATATAAGTAGGAATAGCAGGGTTGCTAGTGCACAGAGCAAAGTTTGAGGAAAGCTTGCGTATGGTAACTTTATTTCCACTTTTTAACATTAGACTAAGTGGATGCTTCTAGATATTTTATGCGAGCTCTGAAACTGTTCATGCCCGATGAAGGCAATGATGATAATGATTATGATGATGAAGATGATGATGATGATGATGATGACGATGATGATGATAGGCCTTTAAGACTTGCAAAGTACAAGTGTTATCTCATTCTTATCCCCATTTTGCAGGTGGGGAAACTGGGGCTGAAAAAGATTGTGACTTGCCTGGGGTCACATAGCTAATGAGTGACTGAGGTGGGATTTGAACTTGTGTTTTCCTGACTCCAGGTTTAGCACTCCATGCATTCTACCACCTAGCTGCCCTTAATTCCAAGAACCTCACTTTTGAAGATATACCCCCCAAAAGAATAACCGTGAAGTTCAAGAATAAAGTCATGTGGCAAGTTAAATTTGTCTTGGTTACCCTGGTTGTGTTTCCTGTATAAGCAGGAAAAGCAGAGTTGCCAATACACAGAGCAAGGATTGAGGAGAGCTCACCTATGCTAACTTTATATACAGAAGAAGGGTGGGAGGAAGTAATTTTACAAGGCTGCTCATAATGGGAGTTCTAACATAGTGGACAAGTGGGAACAACTTATATGCCCCAGGATAGAAGACTGAATCAACAAACATGGGTGTATGCTGGTACCATGAGATACAAAAGAACTGAGAAAAGGGATATGGAAGGTGAAAAGGATATGTGAAGTAAGGCAAAGTAAAATGAACAAAGTGCAGCTCTCTTGTCACATGAGTAATAGATGTCAAAAATGCCACATATGGTCACCACCAACAATGGGAGGACATGAAGGGATAGAAACAGATGTTTATAGAATTGGTTTCTATTATTTGTATGTAATTTTTAAAAGACTCCCTGTATCATGTTAGGGATAAGAGATCATCAGTGGGAGACCTAGTAAGTTGCCAACACATATGCTCTGCTTACAAACTGGGACTTCTAAAATGCTTGAAACTTGTGGTTCTTCTAAGAAAGCAAAACTATCCTCACAATTGATTTGCGAAGCAACCTCTGCCCCTCTGTGCCAGTAAACTTTAGCCTAACCTCTGTCCTAAGGATCACAAGTTCAAAATTAGCCTAACTTAATGAGATTTTGTTGAACTAATATTGAGTTTTCCTGAACTACTTTTAACAAGTATTTTCCAGGCGTTTGGTGTCAATGACTTTTTCAGTCACGTCTGACTCTTGGTGACCCAATTTGGGGTTTTCTTGGCAAAGATATTGGAATGGTTTGCCATTTCCTTATCTAGCTCATTTTACAGGGGAGAAAACTGAGGCAAAGAAAGTTCACACAAACTGGGATCTTCCTGACTCCAGGCCCAGCACTCTATCCACCGTGCCATCTAGCTGACTTTATCTGAAATAACTACTGGCATGTAAAGTTTGCAAAGTGTTCGGCACAATCTTCTCACTTGAGTCTCACATTGCCCTTTTTTTAAAGAAACTGTAGAGCTAAATACAACTTATGTATGAAATAAAGTCATAAGTTTCTGAGTCTACATTTTTTTCCTGTTTGTTTTAATGACAAAAGCATCTTTTCTACTATCCTTCCTCCATTCCTTATGATCTTTTTCCTGCCATGGGATTGTCTTTTGCCTATATCCACATCATAAGCATTTCATTGGCAATTATTCTATGTAAGTTTTTAAAATACTTAGTTTTGTGCTGTTTATTGAACACAGAAATGGAATTCCTGAATGACCACCTTTGAAAGCATAGACTGTTCTGTCCATTTAAATTCTATCCTGTCTTACAGAACATAAAGTTATTGCTCATTGAGCGATAGAGTCCTCCTACTTTAATTAAGGCAGTAAGGCAATAGTGGACATGGCTGTAAGGTCATGATCCTAGCTTTGCCATAGATTCATTCACCCAGTGATCCCAGACCCTTCTGACATCATTGTTTCCCTGTTCCTTAAAAGATGATGCATTCTCATAGAAATGACATAAGGAAGAACTAGAGAGAGGCTATAAAATATCTTTAAAATGAAAGGTACTAATTTTTTTAAAAAGTTGACACCTGGTATGAATGGTAGTAAAACAAATAACTCCAGGATTCAGATTGTAGTGCTAGTGTATAAATCAGTTTCTTAACTTTTTTTGTATCAAGAACTCCTTGGACAGCTTGAGGAAGCCTATGGACCCCCTTTCAGAAAAAAAAAATGTTTTTAAATGCATAAAATAAAACACATAGGCTTATAAAGAAAACTAATTATGTTGAAATACAGTTATCAAAACATATTTGCAAAAAAAGTTCACAGACTTCAGGTTACTCACTCCTGATAGAAACCAAGTTCCTTTTTGCCTTCAAATCCAGCATTTTTTATGTGGGACTGGAGGATGGAGGAAAAGTGATGCAAACCTCTGCCTTCATCAACTTTCTTTGGTTATTGAAACCATTCTTCATGGGAATATTTCATTTTCTAATTTCAACCAAGGAACCACCACATACTTCATGTCAAATGTTCGTAGATTTTAGATTGCTGCCTTAAAAAAGATTCCAGCATCTCAAAAGACAAAATTGAATTCTTTTCAAAGGATTTCTTTTGCTCTGCCATATTTTCTATTTTGCTAGCTTACATCCCAAGATATTATGCCGCTGGAAAGAAACTGTACCACCCAAGTAATTCCTAGATATTCAAATCCTTTAGCTGATTGAACCCACAGAAAATAAATTCTACTCACCCAGGAATGTCTGAGGAAAAGTTCTTCCTTCGGAGCTTGACTTAGCAGCTGATTCTCTATTAATGCTGAGTAAACTTGAGGAGGCTGCTGAATTAAACTGCAGGACCCTTAAATGTGACTTTTATATATAGGTCTTCCACGCACCAAAAGAAGCCTTCTTATTGTTTCAGGTGATGTCCCTCCCATTTCTCTGGGTCACAAACTATAGGGGCTGAACAGACCCACCCACTCATCCGCCTATGTCCAACTTTCTCTAATTGGGCATAAAGAAAAAAGTGAGGTGGGGAAAAGGTCAGAGGAGAGAGGAAAGAATCCTGGAGAAAAAGTCTGATGGATAACTCAAATGAAGGCCGGAGTGGGGTGTCAAATCTGAAGTTAGATTAGGAAAAGTGATCCAACAGACTAACATGGATTCATCATCACAATTTAATTTACAGGAAAGCATCTTTACAAGAAAATCAAATCTGAAAGTGCAAAATAGTAGGCAAGTGTTAGAGTACTTGTCATGTCATCAGATCATAGGTGGAGAAGAAAAGGTGAATGAGGAGGAAGGTAAATAGTACAGTATGTTTGTGCAAACCTGGAGAAGTGGTATGGTTTGGGGACCCAGAAAGGCCTGGGTTCAAGTCCTACCTCTTACATATTCAGGCTGTTGGACCATGGACAAGTTACTTAAATTCTCTGCTCTAGACAACTCTCTTAAGATGATGTGGCACAGAAAAACTGCTGATGTGCACTGGGAGAGGGTGCCCCCTCATCAAAAAAAACAAAAACCAAAAAACAGAGGGTCCAGAACCCCTCTTTCTAAAAAAAAAGAAAAAGAAAAGGAATAATCCACTTTCAGTCATAACATCATAATCAAGCAATAAGCATTTATTGTGCCCACCACATACTGGACACTGGGGAAATATAGACAAAGAATGAAATAACTATTTTTCGTAAGGGGCTTTCATTCAATAGGGGAAACAACAAGTGCATATATAAGTATATTTAGAATAATTACAAGGTAGTTTGGGAAGGAAGACATTAACCATCGGGGGCAGGGAGAGATCAAGAAAGGCTTCCTGTAGAGCAGATCTGTACAACCTGTGGCCTGAGAAAGGATTTGGGTGGCCTGAGAAAAATGTAGAGGATATAAAACAAGCCTACACAACATACCTGCTTTGGCAGGCCACAAGTAACCAGTGGGCTGTATGTTGTGCAAGCCTTCTGTAGAGGGTGGTGCATCTTGGAAAAAAAAGGGATTTTGTGAGATGGAGGTAAAAGACAGAACATTTCAGGCATGGGACACAGCCAGTGGGAAGGCAAGGAGATTAGAAATGGAGGACAGTGTGTGAGGAACAGGCCAATTTGGCTAATCCACAGAGTGCCTGAAGGTGAAGACTGTCTGATGTCTTCCATCTCTAAATCTATGATTGTCTGATAATTAAAGAATAAGTAAGATAATGTTTTAATGAGTCATTTGAAATGTTCGACGGGCAGGTGGTGGTACAGGACTCACACTCAGGGGAGTCGAATGGCTGGTTATATAGATCTGGGAGTCCTCTGCATATAGCTAACAATTAAACTCATGGGAATTGGTGATGACACAGCAAAGGTGACTGAGGAGTGGATAGGCAGGAAGTAGAAGAACCTGGAGAGAGTTGGTATCATGAAAACCTGGAGAAGAAAGTATCCAGAGAAGAAAGGGGGGTCAATAATGTCAATGCAGCAAAGAGATCGAGAAGAATGAGGACTGAGAAAAGTCCATTGGATTTGGCAAAAAAGAGATTGTTGGTAACTCTGGATTTTCAGTTGAGTGATAAAAGTCAGAAGCCAAATTTCCAAGGGTCAACTAGTGAGTAGAAGAAGAAGTGAGGGCAATGAGTACAGAGCCAGGGGTGGGGAACCTTCGGCCTCAAGGCCACAGGTGGCCCTCTAGGTGCTCAAGTTCAGTCCTTTGACTGAATCCAAATTTCACAGAACAAATCCCCTTAATAAAAAGATTTGTTCTGTTAAACTTGGACTCAATCAAAAGGCCGCACCCAAGAACTAAACTTTCAAGGGATTAATGTTTATATTGTTAAATAGTCAATAAAAAGGGAGGGAAGGAAATTTTGATCCCCTACCATTTGATACTTTCTGTTCAGGGCCCCAGCACATCATCTTCTAAGTCTAAGACATAGTCAGAAAGAGGCTAGTTTCTATAACAGCACAGAAAAGTATTTTATGCTGAGTATTATACTTATCACCCACATGGATAGTTCAAGAAAGAAGAAATTGTTCTTAACAGCATGGCTCTTTCCAGGTGCTTGGGTAATTATTTCTTAAACTCCACAGATGATCCAAGGCATTTGCGTCTCTTCTACAGTTACAGGGACCAACATGACAATCTTGTATTGCAGTCATCTTCTTTCCCATCTCCTAACAGCACATGCTTCATAAATCCTCATTGACTTGAATTTAATTTAATTATCCAACCTTGACTGCAACACATATATGAGTGTTAGGCACATCTCAGCTTCTTAAAGAAAGGGGTGCAAAGAAATGAAATTACTTGCTCGAGATTATAAGGCCATAGAGCTGAGCACTCAGACCTAGGTCCTCTGACTATAATGCAGTATAATCCAACCTTGAATTTGTCATTCCTATTGACAGCCTCCTGCCTTCCAGGATAGTGTTACAGAAAGTCCATTGGCTAGTCCTTGTAGACAGTCATCTTAATGTAAGGCACAATGTCATCTATAGAGAGGCATGGACTTGTAACTCTCCAAAGTACATATAGAAAACCCTGTTCTCTTCTAAAAAAGTGCTTTCTTCCTCTTCTGTTTTCAAAGTTGCAGTTTTGTTCACCAACTTATGCAATTGATTTTCAGTGAAGTGAAATAGAGAAAATACTAACCTTGTTCTTCTAGGTTATTTTGTTAAGTGCACCCATGAAAGTGGGATAATTGTGATTTCATTGGTATAATTGCTTATACCCAGGGCTAGGTGATGTAGTGGTTAGAGCACCCAGTGCTGGAGTCAGGAAGAGCTGAGTTCAGTTTGGACTCAGACACTTCACTAGATGTGTGACCTTGGGCAAGTTACTTAACCTCTCTTTGCCTCTGTTTCCTCAACCATAAAATGAGGATAATAATAGCACCTACCTGCCAAGGTTGTTATCAGCATCAAAAATGAGATAATAATTGTAAAATGCTTAGCACATAGTAGGCACTTAATAAATGCTTGTTCCCTTTCCTTTCCTTCCCTTCCCCAGTGAGGAAGGTTGGTACCTGCTCAGTGACTGTATGTTCATAGACATAACCTCCAACCACTTTATTGCTCCCATACTAAAATAGTGACTCAGGCAAGTCTCTGAAACTCTGGGCCTCAGTTTCCTCATCTGTGAAGTGAGGGGGTTGGATGGACAACCTATGAGGTCACTTCTATGACCTCATAAGTAAAGAACCTTGGGCCCTTGTTTTTTCAAGACTATTTGATTTTGTCATTAGGGTCTTTGATGGGGTCCCAGGTGGGTGTTTGTTCCTTTTCCACTGGCTTTACTGACACCTCACAACTGTTGAGGAGCCCAAACAAGGAGTCCTGTTGACTTCATCTTCCAGCAGTGAGGGGAATCCCAAGCTTGGTGTAGCTGAACAGAATTACCCAGAGGAATGTTACAATGTTTGCTCAGAGAGTAATGAAGATGAGATACTGCATAGTTAGCCCAGGATAGCTAACTGAGGTACCCACCAAATGGGGACCCAACACAGCAGCATGCAATACGTCACATAGTCATACAGATGACGGACGGGCATGATCCCTGCAAAGAGGCGATACTCATCCTTCAAATCTATCTCGGGCCCATCCTCATTCCTAAAAGTCCACATTTTCTTCATTCACAAAGCAAGACTCCCCTAGTCCCTTTTTCATTTGAAGCAAATGATTAGTGGGCTTGGAACCAAAATGTCTCCTACGTCTTCTTAAACTTTAAATGAGTAAGAAGCCCAGTTGACTGGTATGGAGCTAAGCATGGCATCCAAGTGTCTGGTGGGACCACTTTGGGTGGTTTAGCTAATGCTTTGAAGTTGACAAAATGCTTCCCCCACTACAATCCCTTGAGGCTGGAAGCATAAATGTTATTATCTCAATTCAATTTAACAAGCCTTTATTCAGGGCTAACCGCCTGCAAGGCATAATGCTAGAGATTCAAAGATAAAAAATAATTTTTTTTTATCCTACTACTATCATCACATTACAGATGAGGAAACTGAGGCTCTAGATGTCACATTACTTAAAAGGGTCGTAGATCTAGAACTGGAAGGGACCTAAGAAGCTATGCAGTTCAACTCTCTTCTTTTATGGATGAAAAACCTGGGGTTTAGGGATGTGAATTGATCTCTCCAAGGTCTCACGGAGATTGTAAGCAACAGAGGTGGAATTCAAACCCAGGTCCTCTCACTTCAGAGACTCTGCTCTGTTCACAATGTCAGAACCAGGATTTGGGCCCAACTTTAAGCGCAATGCTTTCTGTTTGTACTGTGTCACGGTACAACCTGGAAATTCGTTCTCCCCCTTGGTTTCTCACACTGGAAGTACTCTCTGCCCCCGGGGCTCTTTTCTCTGATTAACTGCTTTCTCCTAGAACCTTCTCTGATTTGAGCATTAGATCAGGCTACCTAAGTCTCTCTTCTCCAGCACCTCTCCCCTTTTCACCCCACCACTTTCCTAACTCTCTGGACTGAGCTCAATTATCTCCCCCCTCTGCCCTGTTGGTATAGTTGTTCAATCGTTTCCAACTCTACATGACCTCATTTGGGGTTTTCATGGCAAAGATCCTGGAGCAGTTTGCCATTTCCTTCTTCAGCTCATTTTACAGATGAGGAAAATGAGGTAAATAGGCTTAAGTGATTTGACCAGGGTCAGACAGCTAGTAAATGTATGAGGTCAGATTTGAACTCAGGAGATGAGTCTTCCTGACTCTAGGCTTGGCCACTCTGCACTTCACCACCTAGCTACTCTAACTCCACCCTCCCCACTCCAAACAAAAACAAAAACAAATTCTACAATGTGAATTTTGGGCAAATCACTTAACCCCTCTGGGCCTACTCCTAAATTGTGAGACCTGAGGACTTCACTAAATGATCTCCTCCTAATCTTATTATCTAACATCCTTCAAACTTCGGCTCTGTTATTCAC